TGCATGAAGCATATCCCAGTTACGTTATATTCACTTATTACCGTATTTTTCTAAAACTATCCCAGTTACATTATATTCACTTATTATCATGTTTTTATAAAACCATATAGACTGCACAACGTCACAGCTGTAATTTGTTAAGTCCCTTGACCACATTCAGCATCATTTGATGGAAAAATATGCCCCATGCAAGACCACTGCTGCCATGGTGTTTGTTGCTCCTCTACCTTCATCCTCCCTTCTGCTTCTCCTTCCCTTTCCCTTGTCTTTCTCCTCCTCTCTTCCCTCTGCAATTCCTTCCCTGCAACGACTCCCAGTTCCCACCCCTCAGCTCATTCTATCTGCTAAAAGAAACAGCGGTGAAATAGTTAATATTGACATTGAAGTGTCATCATTGAGCTTCGGAGTCAACAAACCAATAAGCCCAATGAGGGACAGGGGAGTCAACACTTCTGAGAGCTACTGTTTAGGCTGCCTGAAGACTGAGGCAGACATTCCTGCTTCAGTTACCTTCAGTTCTTCCCAGCCAGGAATGAAATGAAAAAATTAGATTCTGCAGGCTCTAAGGAGGGCCACAAATACATCAGGTGGGCTGGGTATCCTCCCTTCCCTATGCATTGTTGTTCTTCAATGACCTGAAGAGGAGCTCAGAGTAAGCCCAAACGCTTGTCTCTCGCCAACAGAAGCTGGTCCAATAAAAGAGGTTTCCACACCCTCCTTGTCTCTCTAATATCCCTGTCCTACCTCCTAAATGGATAGTCACAAGTATGTCCTTAAGCATCATCCAAATGCATAGCGCTTTATGGAAACATGCAGCGCACAGCTGGTTAATAATGTTTTACCACCATCTAGTGTGGTTCTGATCCTGCAAATTGTTCAGCCACAGGATTCCCAGTGCAGACAGTGAGCATTCTGTGCATGGAGAGCTTGCAGGACCAGGCTCTTGATGGAGAATACTTTTGAAGTCTTTTTAAAAAGAAATTACAGCTACTGTCTACTGCCCCATTGCAACTAATGTGGAATGTCTTAACTCTGTACTTCCTGTCTGACCTGAGTAATTGGCAGAGGGATAAAGCTCTCCTTGGGCATCACTGCCTTGGGGAAATCACTTGTAAATACCTGCCATTTGGTGGCCCCTAGTGCATTCCAAAGACAAATAACAAAGCAATAACAGGAAAGAATCTCTTACATACCTCAGCAGAAGGTCTCCAGTCTCCGTTCACTTGTTGCAATGAGTCTATATTCACCCTGCAGGTCAGTGTTGGCTCAGGACTATTGGTGGGCTGGGTTTAATTGCGGGGGTGGGGTGGGAAACCAACATCTTCTCCAGACTATTTTTGGTACCCGATTTATTCCAAATTTCCTCTTTAAAAAGGGAACAAAATTGTTTCAAAGGAAACCAGCTTGCCCAGAACCATTCTCATGAAGAGCGCCACCTGTGAAGTTCTCTTGGTTCTTTTAATCTACAGGACTTTCCCTTGTTAGAACAAAGACTTGCGGAGAGTCCCTGGCTTTAGGAAGTGCCTAGCTGGCACTCTGGCTAGTCCACTTCCACACAACTGCTATAAAACAAAACCAGAAGTAGAAAATGTCCAGCAATTTACAGGAATTGCACTGTAAATCTAGTGCATTAACCCCCGGTGTCACAGATGCTACTTGCTGAGGGTCTCCTAACAGGGAATCTTATTAGCCAGGTAATTTTACTTGGCGGGAAAAGGGATGATTATGCATGGCTTTCCCTTCAGGGGTGTCAAATTGATTGCGTGGAGTGGCTTGAATTCCACATTTAGTCACGGCCCATAAACGGAAGCATAAATTTGGAACTCCATATCCACCTCCATCCACAGCAGAACATCTACTGATGTCAGTAGGAGATTTGAGTGGAGATCAAGGAGGGAATCGGGTCTTTATAAAGTAACTAAATGTTTAGATTTTTTTAAGTATTCCATTGCCACATTCACTATCACTCAGTGGAAAAGCATACTCTTGGGTGGGCCCACTGCTATTTCTGCCCTTTGTTTTTTTTCTTCCTTCCCCAACCTCCTTTCTCTCTATTCTTCTCTCTGCATTTCCTTCCCTCCTTCCACTCCCAATTCCAACTCGCCCCCCCTCCCCCGCCCCTGGAATTTTCTCCCATCCCCAATGTTATCAGTAACACAATTGTTAATGTTGACATGAGACTGTCATCATTTTAGTCGACACTCCAATTGGATTAATAGGGGGCAGAGAAGTTCATGTGTCTGAGAAACGTTCTTTCAGACTGACTGCAGAATCAGGCGGGCAATGTGACATCACTTTACCCTTGGTTTGCATTTGGAAGGTTTCCTTCATAAGCGTGAGGAATTTTTTTTATTTTAGTTTAAATGAAAGCTGAGATTCTGCCCAGTCTGAAAGTGTTATGGAAACCACATGAACACATCAGGTGGGTTGAGTCTGACCCACCAGCTGCATGTTTAATGCATATGTTGCACTTGAACTTAAAGTCTGGTTCTACTCTGAAAAGCGACGCTATCCAAAGGCCATTAATGGGGCTCCACGTATATTGTCAAATGTGCTCAGTTTACAGATAAAAATAAGTTTTTTTTAACTGCAGCCCTGGAAAGTCACTCTAGCCAAGCTGGGTTATTTTCCCCTCTCCCACCTATCACCATGATGCATAAAGGTGCCAAGTTAGAGATATTCCAGGGGGTATATCAACTCATTGAGATATTTGCCTAGTTTTACAACCGGCTACATTAAAAGCACTAGCGAAGTCAGTACAACAAGAAAACAGCTCACTTTCCCTTAAGTGGGTAACTTGAAGTAAAAACAGAAGTGGAGCTGATTCTGAATATACACAGGGAGCAAGTCTTCTGGCTGAGAAGGGGCCATTTGTACACAGGCAGTTGTCTGGGTAGAACTGCACTTTGTATGGCCTAAAATAATCTTTCAAGAAAAAACAAAGTTGGGCACCCCAGAGACAGTTCTGCCTTGAGTCGCACTTTCACTGCCACAGCAAAGAAGAGTTTGGGGCCTCCCTGCATTTTCTATTAGATCTTTGCTCATCTTGCAAAACCGCCACACAGTTCAACACAACTTGGCCAGGTTGGGCCAAGGACTGGAGCCCAAGTAGAGTATCAACAGAGTTGTGTGGGAAAATGCTCTCTCCATCGTTGGAAGTTCCTAACGTTTGTGATTTCAAGTTGCATGCATACATCTAACAGAGTGAGTGAGTAAAATTGACCTGAATCAAAAATGGAGCTGGAAACCAGGGCACGGCCTTTCTGGAATAAAACCTAAGGACTAATGCAGAGCCTGTTGATCCTGAATCGCCTTCATGCCAGTCTAGCATATTGTTGACATGCTATTGTGTCAGCATGGTTTTGAGTATTTAACTTGTGTCAAATGGGTCCAGTTACCTGTGAGAAGTGGACTGTGGTTTAGGCACTGTGGGTAGCAACAAGCAGACCAAGTGTTAGGTCTTCACTCAGCTATTACTCCCCTAACGATCAGTCATACATCCACCCCTAATGCTCTAGAACAAACTGTTACTCATTGCATTACAGATAGCCGTCTTCCAACATCTGACTCAGTCATGTTTCCAGCCCACCCATCCCTAATTTTAAATGAATGTCTGTATTACAGTATTCTAAAATTAGGGAGTCATTGCTTTGAAATTAATAAAAAGAATTGAGCAGTATAAGGTGTCTGGAGAATGCAGTGCTGGGCAAAGGCAGTGACTCCACGAACTTCAGAGTGGAGTGCTGCTTCAGGTTTTAATATCCATGGAGAAAAAAGGGGGCTGGCAGATACAACTGGGTGGATAATCATTTCTCTCTCATTATCTTGGAGGAGATCTGAATGTGGACTGTTGTGAACACCTAACATACAGTTGCTCCATATGCACCAACCATCTTGACTTAGTGGCACTTTGTGAGACAGACACCACAAGTACTGACCAGCAGTGATTAGGGGAGGTACTTCCTGAAGCAACTTGACATTATGATGACAAGTTGAACTCCTTGCCCCATCACATTTCCAGGGCCAACAATACACAAGTTTCACTTATCCCAGTTCTCGGCCATCTCTACTCTTATAGTTTCATCTCACTGATTATGTTCTCTGACCAGCCTGCACATAGTCAGAACACATAGCACAGCAGAGAGAGACTGTGTCTGCCACAGCCTCAAGAACAGCATGTGTATCAAGAACAACGTGACTCGTGGCACTAAGGCAATCGGAGAAAAGACAAAGCTTCCACTAATTAATACCGGGAAACACGTGCTGGTTAAAAATAATCTGTTTATTGCTTAAAAAGTTGTTCACATAATCGCTCTAAAGTATTAATATTTATTCCATTGTGGGGGTAAGAGCCTTTATGAAAGGTCAATTTACGCTCCCATTGAATTATACTTAGAGATTTCATTACAAGCTTTCCTCATATTCGTACACACAAAAAACAAGCACCACACTTAAATACATCAGAAATGAGGTGTTGATGTTTAAGGTGAGATGCTCAGTAGAATACACAGCAAAGAGGTGTCACGTAGCAAATACAGGTGCTGCCTCATTTACCTGAAGGCCTAGGGAGACATCCACAATGCTGGGATAAACGAGGTTTTGGGATGCAGCAGGATAAAGCTGGCCAGCCAACACAGACTGTGGGCTGAGTTCCCAACTCTGGAATACAGTGAAGAGAAGCCCCCTCACTTTGCTAAGCAGTTAGCTCTGGGAGTACCTGGGTATTACTGCAGGGAACATGACTGAACTAGTGTTAACTAGAGCTGTCAGTCATCACCTTCACTTCCGATTGTAAACTCCCACCCCTTCTGACTGGCACTGAACATCATTGCTCCTTTCAGATAGTTCCACTATGCTCCTGGCTCAGACAGGAGTCACGCTGAGGGCTGGTCTACACTACTGCTTAAGTTGATGTAACTTACATCGCTCAGGGATGTGAAAAAGACACACACACACGCCCAAGCGACGCAAGTTACAGCGACCTAAGCACTGTCCACACCGGTGCTACATCGACGAGAGACGCTCTCCCGCCAACATAGCTTCTGCCTCTCGCGGCGGTGGAGTAATTACGCCGATGGGAGAGGGCTCTCCCAGATGTGCTATAGTAGCTAAGCTGCATCGGTGCAGCTGCGCTGTTGTAGCACTGTAGTGTAGACTTGCCCTCAGATGTGACATAAATGGTGGTGCAAGTGATGTGTGGTTCTGCCGGTGCAAGTTGATACAACTTACATGCTATGGGACCAGAAGAGTGGTTTTGTAGCAGGAAAATTAACCAAGTAAGTAAGTAAGAAAGTAATTAAGAAGGCATAAAGCAAAGTAGGGGAGGCCTATGTGCTTTTCCTGCTACAACCCCACCCATTCTGTTCCCTCAAATGTCCACTGACTCACAGATGATTAATTTACACCACCGCTTACATCTCCACTGAATTTGCCCCAGACACCTTCCTGATATATCCTGTCCTTACAATGGCAGAGTGATTAACATGACCAGTGCTCCTGCACTCTTAAAACACAAGGGCTTCTCAATCCCAATATGTGGCATAGACACGTGAATCCCACGTTCAGCACCAGGCACTCTGAGTCACTTCTTATGGTTTTGTACAAGCGCACTGACTGGGAGTGCACCGGTTTTGACTTGTGCGCGGGTTTCAGGTTTGTGCTTTAACGTGAAGACTAGGGCTCGCACTGTCCTGCGATATGGTGCATTAATGAGACGGGAAGAGAGATGAAAAGCTTCTCGCTCAATATTTTCAGCCAGTGGGTGATCAATCTGAAAACAGCAAAGTGTAAAATTAGATCCTTACGTTTAATAAGGAGACCAACTGATTGAAATTGGAGTTCGGTGGTTTTCAGAGTTTCTTCATTAATCAGCTCAAATTCAAGGAAATCTACTTCCCATCACGTGTGAAACAGGAAGAGCAATTTAATTCCACCCGAGCAATTAAGGAACAAGGCAACTTGGTCAGTCGCAGGGAACTCATTCGCATCTCCAGCTGGGAGGCAATGCTTTGCCCTCACAACAGGACACTAATCTGCAACCAGCTTTGGGTATCAAGTTCAACTGCAATTACAAACTACACTGCACTGTCTCCATAAATCTCACATTTGATCTTTCTAATACAAGGAACCTTGGATACTATTTTCAGCTCGATCCTAAAAGCAATTCTAAGACACTCCAAATACTTGGGAGCTTTGCCTGGTGCTATAAAGGGAAATGCAGGCTGTGTGTGGAAGGAGGTGTAATTAAGAATGCAGAAAGGGATTTGCTAAATGTTAATTATGAAGTTATGTGCCAAGATCTGTAATTTGGCACAGCTTAGAAATGTAAGAAATAAACAAAGGAAGAAATGAAACCTCAACTGCTCACCACACTTTTAATTTCACTTTTGCCTTTAGTGATGGGGAATCTCCCATACTTTCGCAGATGGGAGACTCCAAAATGTTAGTGTGTTATTATTAGAGTATTATTCAACCCCCAAGTCCTTGCCCCATTTTATGCCCCCTCTGCTACCCATCTCCCAGTTGCCCCTGTCCTTGCACATCCCCTTCTGACCCACTTACTCCTGTCCCCACCTGCAGATTCCCCTCTCCATTGTCCTTGTACTCCCAATTGTTGGACTCCCTCCTTTTCCTGTGACTGTCTATACATCTGACTGACTCATACTGAAGCAAACTACACATCTCTGATGGTAGCTGCATTCCGGGGAGATTCATGCCTATGGGGGAGCAGGCAATGTTTTCCTTGCCATCCTTACACATGTGTCCTGTTTGGAGAGGGCAGTTTTAATCTCTGCCCTGTCACTGGTGTCTCTACCCAGCACTGCCTATTTTTGAAGCGGCATGAATTGTCTTGCCAGAGGGTAGGCTGCAGGCACCTTGTGCCACTGAAAACCCTGTCTGTTCATACCACCAGGCCTCTGTGCTAGAAACTGACACAGATCCAAAGGGCAGGATTTGAACAAGCCACCTAGTGTATTATGGAGCCTTTCTTTTTTATCACTCTCTTGAATCATCCAGTCATCTTGAGACATCCCCACTTTAACCTATCATAACCCTATTTGAAGAGGACAGGTGAGAACTCCTTTCAGAACATACCATTCACTTCTTAACTGGCCAGAGTGTTAATTTTTCCTAAGGCAAGATACAGCTAAAGAACACATTACCTTTAACTTTCCTTTGTAACTCCTGATTTCCTACCACTTGACTTTCTATTTAAAGGCTAATTAATGAATAAATTAAAAGGATAATTATTATGGCGTTTAATACACCAGGCAAACTAATCATTAAGCCTTACAGCACGTCTTGTTCATTCACTTAAAGATACCACAGGGATCTAGTATTTACCACCACTTTATATATTATTGACCCCTCTCTGTCCATTTTTGCAATAAGTTTTAATTTACAAATACTTAATTACTGAAATACAATTTCCCTGAAACACAAAACAACCAAGAGCTCTTTGTGTAGGTTTTATAGCTAATAAACAGTAGGATGTTTAGTTTTCTATATTAACGTCCTCTTTCCCCTACACGATTTAAGCATAACAGACACACAGGTGTCCTGTTTGCGGACTCTGTAAATGAGAGCAGTGTCAGCGTCATTTTCACCTTTGTTTTCAATAGCCAGAGTAATCTGAGCAAAGGAAAACTAACTCCTTTGGAAAAACCCCCAATAACGGAGATCTCTCGATACAGCAGCTACCTACATACTCTCCTTTAAGCTAAAAAAAAATAAGAGTATCAAGAATATTACCTCTAGTTCCAGAGCATCGCAAAGTAGCTTCCGTGCATTCTTCCTGAGAGTCTCTGTTTTGGGATCGCTCCTGACTTCTATCGATGGTTTGTTTGAATAATCTTTGATGAAAGTTCGCCACTCAGTGTAAACGTCTTTTGCGAGATTGGCCACGTCATGGTCTGAATGTTTGCGCATCTTATTAACCGTGTGACCTGCCAAATAGAAACAGCAACAGAGTTCGTTCAACTTTGGTGGGTAGGTAAGTGTAATCCAGACCTGTCAGTGCACATTAGTGACAAAACAGTCACAAAGCATTGTAAGTCAGGGTATGTCTTCATTACCCGCCGGATCGGCGGGTAGTGATCGATTCAGCAGGGATCGATTTATCAAGTCTAGTCTAGATGTGATAAATCGACCCCTGAGCGCTCTCCTGTCGACTCCTATACTCCAGCGCTGCGAGTAAGTCGATCCAAGTACGTGGACTTCATCTACATCATTCACATAGCTGAAGTTGCATAACTTAGATTGATCTCCCCCCACCAGTGTAGACCAGGGCTCAGACAGCTTCAGCAGAAAACTAAGCACTTGACACAAATACAAATATGAAAACACTGGGGCCAACGCTTGCAGAGTCCTTATTCACTGATTCAATGGTGGTTTTGCCTGAGTAACTTCCTAGGTGCTCGGTTATGCAGCTGTAAAATGGGAGTAGCTTTCCCTAGATCACAGAGGTGTGTAGTGAGGTGCTCAGACAATACAGGGCTATACGAGTACTTAGACAGATGGTAAATCTAGTGTAAAGTCTTCAGGATTGGCTCACACAGAATAAAAATGTTTGCTAAAAAATTATTTGGGGAAGCGGATGTGAAGTGATATTTGCAATGTTTTTACATGCGAGTGAGGAAGTAATGATTTCCTACTGTTTTCCAATCACCATCAGTGACGTTTCTCACGCCCACGGAAATGCACAGAGAGCTACTGCACCGTCAAGGAAATGTGCCCTTTGAAAGGGGATATACTACCGAACACAGTGGTTTTCAACCTTTTTTCATTTGCGGATCCCTAAAAAATTTCAATTCCAATAAAAATTCCACAGGTTGAAAACCACTGACGTAACACAAAGCAGAAGGCACAGTTCCTCTTCTTCTGCTTGGTATTAATTTCTAAGTGATAACACTATTGGCCAGAAGGTGTCACTGTTACTCCTTGGGTTTCATACAGCACAACTGCTTCATCTGTCGCTGGTGCAGACCTGATGCAGTGGTTCTCAAACTTTTGTACTGGTGACCCCTTTCACATAGCAAGCCTCTGAGTGCTTATAAATTAAAAACACATTTTTATATATTTAACACCATTATAAATGCTGGAAGAAAAGCGGGGTTTGGGGTGGAGGCTGACAGCTCGCGACCCCCCATGTAATAACCTCACGATCCCCTGAGGGGTCCTGACCCCCAGTTTGAGAACCCCTGTGATACAGGAAGGCTGAATGTGCTCAAGATGGCAAATTAAATTACAAAATTCAGACCAGAAGAGCAGATCATTCCTCCTGTTCCGTACACAGAGAGGGCCCTCTGCATGAGGGTCCTACTGCTTTTGCACAGAAGGGGGGGAGGGAGGGGTCAGCCCTGGCACTGCTACTCTCCCCCCTCCAGTACATCTTGGGGTGATCTCTGCAAGATCAGGATCTGCACAAAAAGAGGGCAGGGAACTGGTGGTCTCACATCATACCCTGTCCCCCAGTCCTGTGAAAATTAATCAAGTTGTTGTGGTGTTATAAGCACGTAGCCCCCTCCACATTGGGGATTCCTGGGGGAAGAAAGGAGCACCGAGGTAGCTGTAACTAAGGAGCAGGGCCTCTATGCTGATGGCTCGGGCCTCCAGCAGATCCTGAGGACTTCTCTGGGTTTGCAGATGGGTCCCGCATCTCATTCCACAGGAGAGTAACCACCCATGACCAATCAAGGAGGAACTTTGTGGAGATTTCCTCCCCCTTAGTCCTTCTCCCACATATTTTACCATGGAAGGGAGTGACCCAGCCCTTGATTACAAGCAGGCAACATCCAAATAATTGTGAATAATTCAAGGAGAACTCTTTCTTTGCTGTACTAAGAATTTTGCAGATTATGTAGCTACCTACCACTAGGATTTTATTCAACAATAAGGTAAAGTGCTTAGGACCATTACTGAAAAATACTGTCAACAATTCCCTTGTGTATAGAAAAATCCAACAAGTGAAGGACACAAATCCACCTCATTTTCACACTCTAAATTAGATACGAAGTGCACCTATTTTTGTTGAAAGTAACACATCCTTAGAAGGTATTTTCTTCTTTAATTCCTCCAAAGCTTCGATCAAATTCTCTTTAGACTGGCCAGGAAGCTCCAGGACAGATTTCCATCTTTTTATGTCTTCTACAACCACCACTCTCTGGGAAAGAGAAAAGTCATTAGGACAGTGGAATATTCTTATTGCGAATAAAGATGTTGGCCTTCATCTCAGCTAATGGGGCTGTTATCGACACATGAATTATTGATCATGACATGAACCAGAGCACAGAATATGTGATGGTCCAAAATGATAGGTAATTGCTTGAGAGCAGCTCCCTGTTGTAAATCAGGACAGAAATATCTAGAAGGCAAAAGTGAGATTCTTAATCTTATTCTGCCAAACACAGGGCACTTAGCTGCAAATGTCTCCTAGAAAAAGAAGACAGTTATGCAAGTGTTCAGACTTTGGGAAGCCCACTGTATAAATGGCTTAATAAAGAGCGGATGAGAGGGAGTGGCTGGGGGAAGCAGCTAATTATAATATTGTTAGTAGCAACTTAGTACCAGGCAGCGCCTGAATCTGCCCCACTTTTGTTTTCAACTTTGGAAATCTTAAAGCAGGTAGTATCAGCAGAGAGAGAAAAGGAGCTAGGGAGCACCACAGAGGGACTGAAAGAAGCCAGTCATTAATGTATCTGGCATTTACATAGTGCCTTTCACCCCAAGCATCTTGCTGTGACACTCCCAGACAACGGATTACAAGAAGCCCGAGTCTTGTTACGCGCAAGATGTAGTGCAAGACCTTTTACAATCATTCAGCAACGATTATGCAGCTGGTATGCTGTTTGTATCCTCCTCTGTCTTATATTTAGATTGTAGCTCTTTGGCAACATTTTCTGTTCTGTTTGTAAGCACCTAGCACAATAAAGCCCTGATCCAAGACTGGGGACACAAGTGCTATCACAATTAATACACCTCTACCCCGATATAACACAACCTGATATAATACGAATTCTGATATAACGTGGTAAAGCAGTGCTCCGGGGGGGGCGGGGCTGCGCGCTCTGGCGGATCAAAGCAAGTTCAATATAACGCGGTTTCACCTATAACGCAGTAAGATTTTTTTAGCTCCCGAGGACAGCATTATATCAGGGTAGAGGTGTAATAATAATCTCTTGGCTGCAAAATAACCCGCAGGGGGAAAACAATGAAAAAACTAAGTATCAGAGGGGAAAACAATGAAGAAACTATCACTCAAGAAAGCGGTGCAAGAAGGGAGGGGTGAAAAGCATGCACCTCTACTCACAGATTGTCCTTTTCAATTATCTATATCATGCCCAGATGCTACAGTGATGGGCACGTTAGAAATGTTCAGATACAGACTGACTAATGGATATGCAGGAATCTCTTCACTCACTGTTGAAATGCAAGTTACTCCTAATTTATTTATTTTTTAAACTTCTGCAATTAGGACCCAAATGGGAGAACACTCACCACCCAATTCCCACTTCCAGCAAGATCAAAAGGGGAAGGAAAAGTGCTATGGTAATATAAATAATAAATTATTATTAATGGCCAATTGGCCTGTGTCCTTTCCCTCTCCCCCTCAAGCATGGAGTTCTGCAAATCTTAAAGCCAGCTCAGTGTGGAGATTCAGGAAAAATACATGGCTCAGAGAATCTTTGTCAAATGCTTTAATCCCATGCAGGGAGGGTGGTGTTGGATCCACCTATACATGCTAAATGTGTCTCACAATGCATTCTTGCTGCCTATTTGACTAGTTTATGCACATTTTATGTTCTTTAAATACAACATTTATAAATACAATCATGCACCTGATTAATGGCACTCTTGGATGATGATTCCAGCATTAGTGTTGCTACTTAGAGCATTATGACTTCCCATAGGTTTAGAATGATCTCAAATAGTAACTGTACTCTGTACCTATGTATTCTACAACTAATTATGAGTCCAAGTTTCAGCTATACTTTCTTAGCATCTGCAAAATTATGAGCATAGAAATGCATACGCACATGGATAGATACGCAATTAGTCTGTATGAGCTGCAAAATCTATATGCACAGATTTACAGGACACCTGAGACTGGCTGAAAGTTTGACCCTACGTTTGTGGTTTTTTGTTTTGTTTTTGTGATTCATCATAAAACATTCTAAACAAATTCTAAATCTATTGAACTTTCTTTAGAAAGCTTATATCGTGCAGAATCTTGTACTCACGTCACCAAATATCTGACCATTGTTTATAGAATGCCTTTCAGTCTGATGGAGCGTGCCTATCCATTGTACTGTTTACTGACAGAGCACACACCACTGAACGGCAGCCATATGTGGGGAGGAATGCAGCAGCTATTCTGTGTCAACTTTACATGACTGTTTTCACGTGAGGAAATAAATCACTTCTAAAATTGAGGCCACAGGTAAACTTGGACACGGGCTGACTGTAAGTACCCAAGATAGAATTGTGGCCAGAACAGCAGGAGTAACACCACACCTTGCTAACATTTGCCATAAGATCTTCAATGACCACACATATTTATTTGACAAATAGTATTTCCAGCAATCCAGTGCCCCCTCGTGGTGTGGTGGAGCACTAGCTCAGTAGGGAGAGAAGTGTCACCTAAATGACCAACACCATTTCTTGCAGCAACCTGGGCTTCCTTTGGAGGAGTCTCATTGAACTATTGACCATGCCTTAGCCTAGGAGATCTGATAAAATAAAGCCTGAGTTGTATGCCAGCAGAAGTCTACAGAACAACTGCTACTGATCATCAGCCCTTTTAGGGTCCTAGAGTACAGGTCTAGCAAACTGGCTTCTGTGCAGCGTTCACATCCAACTGAAGTTAATTGTGGGCCATATTTACACACACACACACACACTTCTAATTACAGAATTCCTAATGCTCAAGTGAAAGGGCTAAACTAAACTGTACCCAATTTTACAGGATACTGAATGGGACTATTGCACACTGGGTTCTGAAATACTGATTAGGGCTGAAATCTTTACCCTAGAGAAAGGGGTGGGAAGTGATCCCATTTCAGTGTTAATGGCCCGAAAGGAAATTCAGGGGCCTATTAATTGGGGGTCCTACATCTAAGCGTCAGATATGAATGACTTGGACTCACTAGAACTGTAAGTTCATATCTCAGCAGGGTGAATCTAACACATTATCCTTTCAAGCTCCAAATCTGATATTGCCTCAGTTTATGGTGTACATGCATTAAATGAGCTTAAAAAACAACGTCCTATCTGCTTTAGATACACATTAAATGTTCCATGGCAGTTTTTGTAATAGGCCTTTGCTTCAGTGTCTGGAGTACATTTTCGTTCTCCTTGCTGTTGTGCTGAGTGTTTGTTTTCTTCTTGGCTGCTGTCCATCTCAGATGCATTTCAGTGGTGCTGTATGTACTCTCTCAAGTGCTCTGTGATCCTTTGGGACAGAAGTTGCTATATAAACTCCATCAGGCCTATACTGAAAATACTACACTGATCTCTTATCCATCCATTCCCTTTGCCCTCCCCGCTCTTACCTTCAGAGATTCTATAGTGGCTTGCTTGTAAACCTTTTCCCCTGGATCTCTTTTCCTAGGGCTTTCTTGAGCTTTGGGTTTTCGTATCACAAATCTATCCATGATGGACACTTAAAGGTCTCCAAATTATTGGATACGTGCAGCAGCTGTTTCAGTGAGAAAACAATTGTCCATTTTCTTTTATGAAACTGTATTGGTAATACTGCTTTAACTTAAAGGCAGATTGTTGACAGAAATACCAGCAAAAATAACCTAGGAGCCTGAGCTGCAGGTAGGTAGGGGAAAAGGGGGGGGGGGGCTTTTGATGGCAGTGTTACACTGAGCCCCGAATACAATGAAGCTCCAAGGCACAAATGAGGATTGGGGAGAGTGGGGGGCTTGGGCTGCTACCGTATATACCTGGGGCTGGCTGGGAGCACAGATCTGTGGCTGGAGATTTGGGGTGACACTGCAGGGTACGCAAAGGGGGTGCGGCACCATGCTACGAGTTACAACATGCCCTGAGGGGGCGGGCATGGGGTGCCCGGCTCATGCCCCGGGGGAAGGGATGGAGTCGGGGGGGACCGGCCCGCTGGGATGGAGCTGGGTATCTGGCAGGGCGGCGATGGGCCCGGGATACTGCTGCCCGGCGCTGGGGAGCCGGGGACTTAGTGGCTGCCCGGCGGGGTAGCAGGGCTCGGGGCGCACGGGCTAGTTACACGGCCCCCCGAACCGACTCGCGCGGCCCGTCCCGGAAGCGACTCGCCTCGTAGTTCCCGGCGAAGGCGATTCTCCGTCTCCTCCTCAGCTCAGCTCCGATAAGGAAACTGCTTCTCCCGTCAGGCCCCGCGGCGAGGGAATTCTCGCGATATCGCTCAAGCCCCGTCCTTCACCTGAGGGCCGGAAGTGGGAACCCGACGCGATAAACAACACCCCCCCTCCCCCCGCACCCGCCCCGTGAGAGAGGGAGGGGCAAGATGGCGGCGCCGCGGGGGAGCCTGTCGGGGCTGGGTCTCGTTCTTCTGCTCCTGATCTGCGGGAGGGGCTGGGCTGCCGCGGGCTCCTCCGAGGCCTTTGACTCGGCGCTGGGGAGCACGGCGTCGTGCCACCGGGCCTGTCAGCTGACTTACCCCCTGCACACCTACCCCAAGGTACGGGACCCGCCGGCCTTATCCCGCCTTCCTTGGACGGGCCTCTCAGGGTACAGCTCTCCCCTCCGCCCCGCTCCTGCGCTGTGGGGCGCCCCCCACACCTGCCTCAAGGTACAGGCCCCCCGCGCCCATAGCCAGACACCGCCCCCTGCACTCTGGCCCCAAGGCGCAGGGCCTTCCGCCGGGGTCCCCCTGCTTCTCCCCAGCTGGGACCATCCCTGATCTGATCCAAGTCCGTGCGACTGTTGGCATGACAAGTGTTGCCAGAACATGAGAGAGACTCCTCAGGTCTATGTCGGGATGAGGATGACTCGCTTCCCCCGCTCGATAGCTTTTGAGGTTTGTTCACCCTGGTCCACTGGTTGTTGGTGATTCCTTATCAGGTAGCAGGTGCCTCTAGGTATGGGGTCCTTGGCTAGGAAGATTCCCCCTACACAGCAAACCCAAGATATGCCCTGTTTCTTTTGCACCCCCTCCCCATGGGATATAGATAGACTACATGAAATAATATCTCTTATTGGATCAGCTTTTGTTGGTGGATGATAAAAGCTTTTGAGCTACACAGAGCTCTTCTTCAGGGCTGGGTAAGGAAGTAGACCTGAAGAAGAGCTCTGTGTAGCAGTCAGTAATCTCTCTGTAAAATATACCCTTTTGGGGGAAGAGGTTGTCTCTTTACCAGGTAAGGCAATACCGTTTCCTCTTAGGCTCTATAATATATTCAAAAGCTATTCAAGCGCAGAGCATCCAGATTTTGTTGTTGTGGGGTTTCCATGTGTCCTGTTTCCTTCTCCCTCCTTCCCTCAAAGAAACAATGCCAACTTGATGTGGGCTGCTCTGGCTTTAAAACCATACAAAATATCTTTGTGTGTTGACAGGTAAAAAGTCCTGAATCATGACACTGATAAAACATTTGAATTATAGAGGATGAAGTCTGAAGAGTGGTTAAAAAATGAGCACCCCAAAAAACTTCCACCCCTGGGTTCTAGTTAACTCAGGGAGAAGTCTTTATAAAAGGAAGGTGTTGGAAAACTGTTCCCCCCCAGCTCTGTTTCATGTTGAGGTTTAGCATCAGTTCAAGATTCCATAGAATTCTGAGTTACTGTTGGAATTTGGAAAATTCATTATTCTTTTCAGTCTTGTGTGAATTTTTGACTGGTAATATACTTTATTCTCTATCTGCAGCAGAGTAACAGGTTGAGTTCAAAATGTGGGGTGCACAAACAACAAACGAGGGAGACGAGAAATAGAGCAGAAAGTTTGAAGTGTGGAATTAATATTTTTAGAATAAAACTACATAATCATGGTTTTGAGACAGTAACTGTGATGTGTATACCTCAACAATGAGTGGAAGCAACAAAGACTTGTGTAGATGGAATGAAATGTATATCTAGAATATGGGACTTTATGCCGCATGTTGAGATGTCTAAGCATGATACTAATTGCAAAAAAGGTCAAAGTTTGGGAACTGAATCATTGTAAGATTAAACATCTTTCTTCCTTAATCCCAACCCCAAATCTTTTCCTACCGCAGATGAAATTTCAGACTCCTGTGGTGAAGCATAGTTGCCTTCTTTTTGTTGGAGGACTTTGGCAAGTTTTTGAAGGAAATTGCGACTCTGGTGTTTCTGGTAGCTTTTAGAGTTTTTTAAAAAAACTAAGCACTTTGAGCTCATTATTATAATATACATCATAAAGAGGCCAATAAAATGACACACAATCTTCTTCCTACTGAGTACTTTGTGACTTAAACAATCAATCTATCCTGTGTTGATTTTAAGCACTACTTACCACTAAGCTACCAAATAGAAATAGAGGTGGCAGGACACTTTTTATTTTGGAAACATTCATTGTTTGGTTTAACTTCAAGATAAACTTCATTAAGACTTGTCAAGAGAATCTGTGTGTGCATCATACCTGCCAAAGCCAATTCAATGTGAATGTCAACATCCGAGGCATACTTTCTGCAGCAGGATATTTCTATTAGAGAGACAGTCAAGGTTGTTAGACTTTATTAAAAAAATTAAAAAAATCTTGACCCAGCTTGGCAGTTCTGTTTTTGCAGTATAAAATATCAGAACATCTGTGTCTGAAAGAAAATCACATCAGTTTGTTTGCAATGGGTTAGTTATATGGTAAGGTGTGGTGTGTTTGCCTTGTTCCTTTAATAATGGATTCAAAGTTCTCTCCACCTGTAAAACAGATGGTGACAACCATAAGGATGAGGACAGAGCCAAAAGACTTGTCTTGAGTTTTCCTGTTAATAGATTCACATGGTGTCAAATGCAGAACAATGTTCAGTGTTTACAACAACACTACAAACAACTAGTTTTGTTGGTCCTAACATATGAGAGAGACAAGGTAGGTGAGCTGATATCTTTTACTGGACCAGCTTCTGTTGGAGGAAGGTAGAACTGTAATTTGCTTTTGTTCCAGACTGTACAGACCTTGGTGTTTGGCTGGCTTCTAAGGTTTTCTTTTTGTTTGGGTTTTTTTGCTAGAACATTTTCCACGGTAGCTTTTATAGTACTCAGAAAAGTAGTAATGTTTGCTTGTTGCTACCCTAGGTTCTTGGATGGAGTATTAGTAATTTCTTTAGCAACCCTGCTTTTCTTGTAACTTCCCAGGAAGAGGAACTGTATGCATGTCAGCGAGGCTGCAGACTGTTTTCTATTTGTCAGTTTGTGGATGATGGAATTGACTTGAATCGTACCAAACTGGAATGCGACTCTGGTAAGATAATTCTATGCTCTTTCCACAAGATGTAATGTGAAGAGACAAATGAAGGGAAGAGCGGAAACGTATGAAGGGATATTGTCAGTTTGACTTTTTTTAAATTGATGTTACTCTTTAAAAAAAAGTTTGATAGAGCACTTATTAAAATTTCTCAAATTTTTAAAAGGGGTTTCTGCTTTGTGAGCCTTTAAAACATAAGGGTCCTTTTGGCCAAGGGAAAAACTTAGGTAATGTAACCATATTAGGTGTAAAATGGTTAGCTGACAATGTAATTTTCAAGCTAATGGTGTCCCTTTTACTCCATGCAACATTGTGTAATGACAACCTAATAAATGACATCAGTTGCAATGATTTTCATAGCCCTGTCTATTTGTTGGGACTGTATGGCTTTGTATTTACTTCAGCTGAAATGTTTGCTTTACAAAGCACAAACCTTGGTGAACTGTGTACTGTACTACATCACTGATATGGCCTCATTCAACTAAATTTTACAATTTCTTTACTATGGAAAGAGAAACCAAGCTTAACTACATTCTCTGCCTTGCTTGTAGTTAAACAACTTGGGAGCTGGGTTTGTCTTGTTGAATTAAGCCATTAAATAATCAAACATTCATGAATAACTAATTGGTTAAAAGGATTAATTATCTGAAGATCAGACAAGGAATGTCGATAATTAAAACTGAAAATACTTGTTACAAACTATATACCAAGCTAATATTTCTTTGCAGTTCTGTAGTACTTCCAGCCAAGGATCTTAAAGCAATTGATAAACATTAAGGTTCGTATACTGAGATCAAAAGCGTGGTGCCAACCAAGCAAGGCAGGAGAGGGAGCAGCTCTCCCTATGTAGTCTAAAAGTGGTTAAGTGCCAACTCAGCACTAAAAAGAGGCTCAATCTTGTGCTGAAGACAAAGGGGGCAGTGGCCAGCTCCAATAGCAGAGAGAGTTGGGGAAAGGCATGTTAATACAATACAGAGCTGAGTTATAGGAGCTGGGAATAGGCTAGAGCTGCAGAAAAGCACTATCCTGTGCACAGCTGTGCTCCAGACATTTCTTTTCAATTGCCAAACCACACCTCAAGGGATATCATAAAAAGGGGTGCTGCAGCAAAAGTCCAAATGTAGAGCTGAGTCTGAAGTGTTGCCTCCTTTCCTGTACAACATTGCCACCCTGGACTGTTGCCTTCTGCCTGTTCATTTGCCGTGGTCTTATAACACTGATTTTGCTCATTGCTTGGTGGCTGTCCTGTGCTTTGTGATGCGCTCCCTGACCATTATGTTCAGTTCTGTCTCTAGGTGCTTCTGTGACTGCCGATTGTCTGGCTTTGTAACTGGTTTACCATAGGACTGCTGCTCAGGCACCTGAGAACGGCACACTCAGTTATTTGGCTGATTACTGTGCATTCCCTGCCAGGATTTTGTCTGCCCTGTTTCCATAGACTTCCCATATCTGGTCGTACACTTGTTCATTTTCCTCTCCTGTGAGAAAATGGATCGTCCTAACGTTCAGTAGGCACTTTTACTTGCCAAGCCTGCTCTTTTTGTGCCTTCTGGCCTAAGCCTCCCAATACCCTAGTGAGAGAGGATTATCCCCACTTGACTTCTGTCTCCGGTTCCCCAGGTGTAGAGACTTTTCCCAAGGTCATACTGCAGGTGGGTGGCTAAGCCACAAATAGAATACAAATCTTCTGGCTTCTCTCCTGTAATTGCTAGTCTGTCCTTTATTTTAAATATTGGATACGGATATTTGGAAATAAGAGCAGAGCTGACTTTATATTTTTGATAGAGCTTGAAATTGGTATAGAAAGTCTAACTATACTCATGCAACACTGATGGGCAAACCCTCCTTTGTTCCCTGTTATGCCATGGCGCTCTGACGTTTGATGGATTCCTCTGTTAGTTTACTTCCATCCCCTGGAGCAAAACTTGAACTCTTCCATGGTATGTGGGAGGGAAGGCCACAGTCCTGTGGGAGGGTCTTTCAGAACTCTGGTTGATAATCCATGCCATCTCTGGTACAAAATCCTTGCCTATTCTACTGGGTTGAGGCTGTGTTAATTTACGTCACTATGTTGGAATTTTCTATACCAGTAATTGCTCTTACTTTATTTTGATTGTTTTTTTGCTTTTCCTCATTTTTGTGATCAAATGCTATTGCTGCATTCAGCTTTTAGATATAACCCAGTTTTATGCCTATTCTAGATAGATCATCTAGATTACATCAGCCCAAAGAATCCGGTACCAGTATTGGTAGATTGCTCTCGTATTATTCCTCAGGTGGGATAGGAAGTCTTTAAAATTGTCACTTGAGTCCTTATCAGACTGTACCTACACCTTACATTCGTGCTTTCAGTTGCTGACTTAAGATGTGAAATTATTTTTCAATTTACACAACTTTTCTTCTTTGCAGCCTGTACTGAAGCATATTCCCAGTCTGATGAACAATATGCTTGCCATCTTGGGTGCCAGAATCAGCAGCCATTTGCTGAACTGAGACAAGAGCAAGTAAGCATGTAGCATGATTGTCAAATGCCACCTACTTGTTTTCTGCTCAGATTCTCACTTTTTTTTTTCAAATTTAATGTGTGTGTAGAAAGATGGAGAGAAATTCTCTATTTAAAGACTAAGACCATATTGGGGACAGTGTTAAATTGCTTGAATATGTACAGAACAAATCGAAAACCAGTTAATGATGTGTTTACAGTTAATGTCCCTGATGCCAAGGATTCATCTCCTTTTCCCTCTGACACTGGTGAGATCATTCTGGAGTGACATGATGGACTCAGCACAGAGCTTCATAACTTCCTCATGGACCTTCTACCTTCAAGCAGATGATGGCAAAATAGTTATATTCCAGGTGCTTGCTTGCTTTTTTACTTTTACAAGGCTTTGTGTGTCCTGGGTGTTAACAGTTGATCTCCTGCGTCTTCCAATCACACAACAGATAGCAGAGCCGTCTCGGCAAGTAACTGCATGCTTAATGTTTGGCAGCAGTCAGTCTCTCTTTGTAGTGGTCACTGGATTTGCAATGTAGAAAGCAAAATTAACTTAAATGGATAGTGTGTCAAAATTTTTCCCCATTTCTTTTGCAAATGTGAATGATGCGTATGGGATGACTATAATTTTAAGGTTAATTGAAGCTTTATGAAATACAAATAATACCTTACAATTTTCATTATTGTTTTAGTCAAAGCCAGAAGTTCAATATATTCCACAGGACACCACAGATCTGAAAGAATCGTTGTTGAGCAAAACATCTGGTAAGTTGGTTTGGGTTCTCTAGAGTGCAAATGAAAATATTCATAACCTGCAAGAGTAAGTCAAATCTTCCACAAAGGAAAAAGTCATTATGGGCAGACTGTCACCTTCACCCTGTGTACATTGCAACAAAGGCCACAATAATAAATTCTTTTTAAAATGTATTTTAAATATAGCATGGTATACTACTGGATGGTAGTGGTGCCACACTGGAATTAGAACCATTTTAAAGAAGCTTTCTACTATCAATGTCTTCGTATAGACAGGGACTGTATGAGACTAGAGTTTTTAAACATAAATCTTTTTTTTTTTAATTGTAACCTTTTAATGGAGCTGTCATTGTGATATTTCAGCAGACCTACAGCCAGGAGGTTCACAGACACACAGAGGATTTTTTGAAGAGGAGGAAAGCAATAGCTTTTTCAAATGTCTTTCTATGTATGTATCTTCTACTGTCTTGTAAAAGCTTAAATGGTAGGATGACATTCCTTCCCCATATATTTTACATGTCATATACTCCATCAGAGAATCTCAAAGTGACAGAACTGTATTCAAGAAAGATGATGTTTTGGAGGAGATGTTAAAGGGGAGGTTCTGAGCACTTGTGTTAAAGAGCTCACTGCTCCCTTAAGAAAATAGATATTAGCCACAATATACTTGTTGACTATTTGGCCAACCTAATCTCTCCATGCAGTTTAACCTGACCATGACATTTGTCATTTCCTGTCCCACACTACTGATATTTTGCTGCAAACTGTTAAACAGCTGCTACATTTCACTGGGTTCCTAGATATGGCTGCATATCAGGGTGAAGTGATTGATTTGTGTAGTACTTTGGGATTGTCTAGTGTGAAAGGTGCTGTATAAATAAGCAGTTTTGCTTTATTTCTAGGTTGATAGGCTACAATATAACTTTGCTCTTTTTCTTTCATTAATCTTTGCTACTGAGCAGCAGGATGCATTCACAGACTTCTAGACATACAAAATAATGGGGTCTAAATTAGTTGCAAGAAAGATCTTGGCATCATTGTGAGTAGTACACTGAAAACATCCTCTCAATGTGCAGCAGCAGTCAAAAAAGCTAACAATGTTAATAACTAGAGAGGAATAGATACAAAAACAGAAAATCCCTGGTACACCTACATATTGAATACTGCATGCAGTTCTAGTCACCTCATATCAAAAAATATTTTAGAATCAGAAAAGGTACATAAGAACGGCTATACTGGGTCAGACCAAAAGTCCATCTAGCCCAGTATCCTGTCTTCGACAGTGGCCAATGCCAGGTGCCCCAGAGGGAATGAACAGAACAGGTAATCATCAAGTGATCCATCCACTGTCACCCATTCCCAGCTTCTGGCAAACAGAGGCTAGGGACACCATTCCTGTCCATCCTGGCTAATAGACATTGATGGACCTATCCTCCATGAATTTATCTAGTTCTTTTTTGAATCCTGTTATAGTCTTGGCCTTCACAACATCCTCATGCAAGGAGTTCCACAGGTTGACTGTGCGTTGTAAAAAAATACTTCCTTTGTTTGTTTTAAACCTGCTGCCTATTAATTTCATTTAGTGGCCCGTAGTTCTTGTGTTATGAGAAGGAGTAAATAATACTTCCTTATTTACTTTCTCCACACCAGTCATGATTTTATAGACCTCTATCATATCCCCCCTTAGTCGTCTCTTTTCCAAGCTGAAAAGTCCCAGTCTTATTAATCTCTCCTCATAAGGCAGCCGTTCCATACCCCTAATCATTTTTGTTGCCCTTTTCTGAACCTTTTCCAAGTCCATTCTATCTTTTTTGAGATGGGGCGACCACATCTGCATGCAGTATTCAAGATGTGGGCATACTGTGGATTTATATAGAGGCAATATATTTTCTGTCTTATTATCTATCCCTTTCTTAATGATTCTGTTCGCTTTTTTGACTGCTGCTGCACATTGTCTGGATGTTTGCAGAGAACTATCCACAATGACTCCAAGATCTTTCTTGAGTGGTAACAGATAATTTAGACCCCATCATTTTATATGAATAGTTGGGATTATGTTTTCCAGTATGCATTACTTTGCATTTATCAACATCGACTGGCAACAAAATGATTAGGAGTATGGAACAGCTTCCATATGAGGGGAGAGTAAGAAGACTGATAAGCTTAGAAAAGAGATGACTAAAGGGAGATGTGATAGAGGTCTGTAAAATCATGAATGATATGGAGATAGGGAAGTGGTGGTGGTGGTTGTTTACCCCTTCACATAACACATGAACTAGTGGTCACCCGATTAAATTAATAAGCAGCTGGTTTAAAACAAATAAAAGAAAATACTACTTCACACACTGCACAGTCAACCTGTGGAACTCAGTGCCCTGGGATGTTGTGAAGGCCAAAAGTTAACTAGGTTCAAAAAAGAACTAGGTAAGTTTGAGGATGGGTCCATCAGTGCTATTAGCCAACATGGTCAGGAACACAACCCCATGCTCCAGGTATCCCTAAACCTCCAACTGCCAGAAGCTGGGACTGGATGATTGTGGATGGATCACTCAGTTGTCCTGTTCTGTTCATTCTCTCTGAAGCATCTGGCACTGGCCACTTTCAGAAGACAGGAGACTGGGCTAGATGGACCATTGGTCTGATGAGTATGGTCATTATGTTCTTTAGAATTGCGCTAAACATTTGGCTGCTATTTCCCTGGCATAATGAGGTTCTTAAGGCAGAAAGAGAGATTAGAGATTTTGCTGTCATGCATTCAAAATGCAATTAATGGAGAGATTTGTTGGCAAAATAGCTTAAAGTAGGAGTCCGCTTGGGATCTAGTAAAGAAACTGCCAGACTTGATTCATTGTGCTTCCCTACCCTGTACCTGAAGACAGGTAACTAAGGTGGGGTGAGAGACTGGTTTCCCAGACTCCTCCAGTGAAGCATTCAACTGAATGATCTAGACATGGGAACGCAGATTGGTAAAGCCCAGTGTATGTCTTTAGGAATAACAGTTTAAGAAAACAGGATAAACAACTTTAACGATGCTCATTACATTTCAGAAATTCTGGTTGGATTTTAACGACTACACTTGTTCTCTCCGTACTGGTGCTACTCTGGATTTGTTGTGCTACTGTTGCTACAGCTGTACAGCAGTATGTTCCCTCTGAGGTAAAGCAAATTATTCTATAGCTTACATCACCTTGAAGTTATTCATATTACTTAGTGTCTGAAATGCTGTAGGGTCTTAGGTGTAGAGCTGGTGTTTTGGTTCACTGGCTGTTCTGCAAAATTAAAACTAAAATCTGCTAGAATCAAACTAAAAATGTTGGCAAATCAAAAGTCAGTGCATTTTGATCTGGGTTTAACAAAATTTCATCTGCATCAAAATGAAGCACTTTCTGTTGGGACATTTTAAAAGTAAAGACAAGAATTGTAAGGTCTCGATTCACAAAATGGGTGGAGAAGGTGGTGGGGGTGCCTCTCTTTATAACCTTTAGCCCAGTAGATAGGGCACTTAGCTGGGATGTGGGTCACCTGTGTTCCCCTCTCGGCCGGCTGTGGAGCAGGGATTTGAACTTTGGTCTCCCACCTGGCAGAAGCATGCTCTATTGGCATTTGGGGCAGGTCTCAATCTCTCAAAGTTGTTCAATTGTGTGTAAGTAAATTAAAGTCATTGGACCAAGGACATAAATGTGGGTCTCCCATCTCCAAGGTGAGTGCCCATAACCATGAGGCTACAGTCATTCTCACTTTGACTATTCTCATTCTCAATGACTATTCAAGCATTTTGTTGAAGCTGTTCCACTTTGTATAAATGACACTGCAGTCATTTCACTGTCTTTGTCATGATTAGGGCTCTCACCTTGGAGGTGGGAAACCCAAGTTTGGGTCCTTATTCCAATGTTTACACACAGTGGAACAACTTCAGCAAGAGAGATAGAGATGTGATTTAGAAAACCCTCCTATATCCCAGTGCTTAGGGCAGTGATACTCAATTAGATCTACCTGTGGGCTGTTGGGTTGCTCAGTGTCTGGTTTTTGACTGGAACATCCAGTTGAAAAGGGACCCTGGTGCTGACCAGGCCACTAAAAATCCAGCCAGCGGGGCCAGCCTTGCCTGGCCCTGGCTCTGCTCGGCTCCAGGAAGAGGCTGGCATATCTGCCTCCTAGGGCAGCCCTGGGGGCTCTGCGCGATGCCCTCACCCCAAGCGCTGGCTCCGCAACTCCCATTGGCTGGGAACCCTCTTCCCCGTGGTAACCATGTTTGACAACTGGAAATTTGTTTCTAGTATCTTTTTGCCAGAGCAGAGTGAGACCTAGGGGATGTATGGTTACAGGTTGCATTCACTAAACCATTAAAGAGGTTTTAATAAGATTGTGAAAAGGCTGAGAATGGCAGGAACCTGTGGACATGATGTGGGTGAGTGGCAGGAATCTGACTGGAGGAGGAGAGAAGGGACTGGCTGAACTGACCATCCCTTCCCCCCCCCCACTCTCCTTCCTCTAAAAATATGCAAGACTGGCAAGTACCACACTTATTCTGACAGGAACATGTCAGTCCTAGCCTGGGACTCAGACTCAACTGTGAACATGAATTTTAGATGTCATGGAAAATGCAAAGTGTTTCATAGTAAGAGTTGAAGGATTGCTACTTTGAGGACCTTCAAAACCTCACTGAGACATGTATGATCATAGATATATGCCAGAAGCTGGGAATGGGTGATGGGATGGATCACTTGATGATGACCTATTCTGTTCATTCCCTCTGAAGCACCTGGCATTGGCCACTGTCGGGAAAACAGGCTACTGAGTTAGATGAACTGTTGGCCTGACCCATTATGGCCATTCTGTGTTCTTATGGCTAAGCATGTCTTGAGTCTTGCATTCAGAATCTGTAATGATATGATCTTTTTAAAATGTTTAATTATTTCAGAAGCTGAGCATCTATGGAGACTTGGAGTACATGAATGAAAAACTGACCAGATACCCAGCTTCTGCTCTTGTTGTTGTTCGATGCAAGACTGATGAACATGAAGAAGCAGGACCTCTACCCACAAAAGTTAATCTGGCTCATTCAGCAATTTAAATAGTTTAAAAGAATTTAATAGACTAATTCTAGCACTTCTATCAACTCCTGGTGTTTTTTTATGGTTTCTTCAGCTGCGGGGCTTAGCGGTCAGTGTTTAAATGAAAATAAAGTTACAGAATCAACAAATCAGTCTGTCATGGAATCCTTGTTTTCCTCTAGTAGTGAAGAGAATTGCACGTTTAACTTGCAGTTTTTTTTCCAAATATATGTAATTGCTTTCACTGGAGTTTGCAATGTGTCCTTTTTGCTTAACAAAAACTGTACACTTCTCGCTACACTTCTACCATGGCACTTTCAATCAGTCATTTCTAACCGTTCTATGATGTAAGCTCGGCATTAGCTCTTAAAAGTAGGGTATAAATTCTCAGTGGGCAGAAGATGCTTAGGTCAGGCATTTTCAGTTGTGAGTAACTAAGAACATTAATTGTAGAACTATTTGCAGAAATGTTGTATTATCCGTTAGTCTTTGCAATAACCCTTTCCCCCAAAATAGAAATGTATTTTTTTACAGGTATCAATATGCAGAGCGTTAATGAGGTACTGCAGGTTGAGCTCAGGCTGTCAGAAATGCAAGTTTTTAACGACTCATGGACGTATCCTTTTGCACACAAAAAAGAGACATGCTTATTTATTCTTTTGACAAACTTTAGCCTTAAACTCGTCAATAGCTTGTTACGGTAGAGCAGGGGTCGGCAACGTTTGGCACGCAGCTCGCCAGGATAAGCACCTTGGCGGGCCGGGCCAGTTTATTTACCTGCTGACGTGGCAGGTTCGGCCGCGGTTCACCATCCCGGGCCAATGGGGGCGGCGAGAAGCGGTGCGGGCGAGGGATGTGCTGGCTGCGGCTTCCCGCCGCCCCCATTGGCCCGGGACGGCGAACCGTGGCGAGTGGGGGCCGCAGTCGGCCGAACCTGCCGCGTCAGCAGGTAAATAAACTGGCCCGGCCCGCTAGGGTGCTTACCCTGGCGAGCCGCGTGCCGAACGTTGCCGACCCCTGGGTTAGAGCATACTTTTTCTGAAGGCACTCCCTTTGCTGTATTGATTAACTAATTGGGTCCAGTTGTTTCATTGTCAGAAACAAATTGATTACTGAAAACTGAGAACAAATTTAGAAAAGTAGAATAATGACTGTAGCCTTTTGCTATGGCTCTCAATTAACCATGATGCACTTAGTATGAGACTCATCTACAGCATCCCCCTAATATATGCAACTTTACCACATTCTGCTACATTAGTAAATACTGTTACTGAATTGTATTAGTTATGTGAGAATATTGTTATAGCTAGTTTGTCCAACACAGTTCTATTCTTTACTCCAGCAGTTACGATCTAGTGGTGCCTGCTAGGCATCTATAAGCAAGAAGGGACTGTGATGGTTTTCCTTACGAAGTCTCTTTGCAAATGTTTAGAAACTGGCCAAAATTATGTCTCAGATATCTTTAACTTTTTGAACTTTATCCGATTGTCCACATTCAGGTTAGAAGTAGGCAATAGAAATCTACTGGTTTTGCATAGCTTTTGTACTTGAGCAAAAATTATACTTGAGACGTCCAGTTTCATGGTTTTAATTGCATGAATTAAAACCAGAAGAATAATTTTAAGTTTGGTTGAGAGTGAGGTTTAGAAAAGGGTATGCATTTAGTAAGTTTCTAAAGTTTGAGGACTATATAGTTGTGGTTATAGATCATGTATTATGGGTCCATACTTAGACTGCATACCACATACACTGTGGTGCTTGCTATATGTGGTAAGCATACACAGAGCTGCTACAAATCGGTGTTCTCTTCAAAACTATGTGCACCTTTTTTTGTCATGAAGGTGTAAGAAGTTCAGAATCTAATTCTTCAAGGGGTCTAGTGTGTTATTGTACAAACATTGAACTTAAGCCCAATTACATAGTAACTTTTGGTTGATGTGGCATTGAAAGAGGATCTGACTTACAATCATGAAAGTTGGAGTGAAATACTGTTCTTAACATGTCTTTATTAAATACCTAGGTTATACAAGGGTCTAAAAATGTGATGGTTGGTTGTGCAGTGCTTTAAAAACTGTTTCATAATCTGATGCCCAAAAATAGCTTTTTCTATATCTGTAGTAGTAATCAGTCCTAAGACTCTCATTTCTATGCAGTTATGTACTTCAGACATCAGAACACAGCCTTGTTTGATACTAGCACATCAGCATTAAATGTAACTTGTGCAATGACAGTTTAAAATCTTTAGGAGCAAATGCAGACTTTATACCAGTGGCTATGGCTGGTATTCTTTGCACTAACTTTGTCTGCAGTGCAGTCTCTGAAGACATTTTAATTATCCCAAATTTTGACTTATAACTAGCATTGAATATAGCATATATGTAGCATTGAATCTGTTTTCTCTGTGATGTGTAAATGCTGGAAATAGTGTTTATGTAGCCTCACTGAAAGTATAACTGTCCAGTTGCCTGTTTCACTATGTATAGTACAGCTTTCATTATGTCAATGACTTTAATTTTTAACTCATGAGTGTAAAACTGTTTTTTCTTAACTTGTATTTCTAAAGGTGGATGTTTTCAAATGTTTAAATTTTTAATTATATTTGGGTTAATCAACTGCTTCTAGTTTTTATTTTGAGCTGTAATATCTGCTTAACCTTCTGAAAACCAGAAATGAAAGGAAGAAACAAATCAACAAATAGATATAAATAAAAGTTCAAGTCTTGGGCCTTGTTACTTACCTGAAATGTTACTATACAATGAATAGATGGTGAAGTCCAGGACTCAGTAACACTCTACCATGGGTGACACCTACAAAAGTTGAGTTCCTGTAATGAACTTCTCAAGGTGTTAATTTCTATAAACAAAACTATAGTCCAAGGAACCAGACTTTCACAGTATTATACATTTCAGGTTTTATCCAGGTCCGTTATCAGAATCAAACTAATGCCAGCAGTTCCTACTCTAAATACAGACGGCAATTCAGTCATCTTGGTATTTGAAAATACAGTAGTTTGTAACCATTATTGGAGCAGACCTAGGTCTTATTTACCAGTTTTTAAGATGGCAAAACAATCTCTGTTCCTCTTCCTTATATTCAGATTCTCTGTTTTCTGAAACACTAATTTTGTGTGTAGTGATTTGGGTTTTGGCTCTGCCCAAAAATGAAAACTTTAGTAAATTGCATTAAGATATTGTAGATGAGGGACTAACTACTTCCTCACCTTCCTGTTCCCCATATTATTGTACTTGTTCTCTTTTCTCTTTTGTTTTGAGAACTCAAACATCTAAACTTAGAAACAGGAATCCTCGCATCTCCGTTGCTCAATAAGCAATGTATGATTTAAGTTACAAAAGACTGATAATTCCTGCTCCCCATGGTGCAGTGGCCATAGCTTAGTTATTGTACCATCAGAGTCCTAGGTGAATGGAAGTCATAAATTTATATGCTTATCTGTTCCACTAATTTTATTACTCTGCATCCATCTAGTTAGGCCTCGCATCACCCTACAAGGCTGTCAAATATTACTTTAGTAGATGGAGAAACTGAGGTACAAAGGTTCTGATTTTGGCCAAAGACAGTTCCTGATTGAGCTGTGATTTATATATAATCCCCTTGCGTAAACCCAAGTGTTCTCTAGTAGGCTACAGCAGAGAGTGTGCTGGTCTCTGATTTCTTAGTGACTGAAAAAGATGAAATGTCCTTGCTGGTTCTTAGACTTAAGAGCAGAATAGGGAGCTATGAGTCTTTTGTTAACTCTACTTTGGGTCTCGAATGTGATCATGCGGGGTAGGATCATTCCAGTTATTTAGAATGATCCCAGAAGAGGATGGTGGATAACTAGCCTCCCTGAGCTCTCCAGGGATTTTACTGAATTCTTTTGTCATTCCTATTTTAACACTGTTTTTTAAAAAAAAGCTTGTATGACAAGCCAATTGGGAGGACCTATTTTTATAGAGGCACATGGTTCTGGTCTTACTCTCCTCAACAGCAGCTGTAAATTCTGTATGTATTGTGGTCATAAGCAATTACACTCAGCAGCACTGGTACCAGAACATCTAATTGAAAATCCTTGTGCATTAATTTACACCACAATTTTAGGTCTAAACTTAGAATGTTTAGCATATCCAGAACTGCAAGGAGACCACATGCCAAGCCACTTGTAGCTTTGTTTTTTCAACATAGTAGTCTTCCCAAAGAGGAACTGCAACCCTAATTGAGGATATTACAAAGCTCCTTAAACCGCTAGATCAATATTTTTGACTATTCTATGTAATATTTTTGTAAATGGTTTGTATGGAGTATCTTTAACAAACTTCTGTGGCACCAGTCTGCTTGTGTGTTCAGTGCTTCCCCCCCCCCCTCCCCCCGCCAGAGTGTGTTCTCCTAGAACAGTCGTTTAAGCTGTAAATCTTGCCCGGGCAGGAACTAGCCCTTTATGCTTGGACAGTATCTATCATGTTGAGACTGCAGGGGCAATCTTAAACTAGTAGGGGCGCATCAGTCTGAGCAAGAGGCTGACCTAAGATGTGCTATGGGCTTGGACATTTGAACTGGTAGGTATAGGGTAGCCCAAAGTGATTAGATATGTGGAAACTGATGCATCACCTAGGGTCCCATCACAAATGAAGCGTGACCGTATCTCATTAGATGTTTGCTATATGTTTGGGCCCAGAGTCTCTCAAGGCTTCTTTGGGTATGTTTGAGCCAGACAGCGAAAGACTGGAAAGAAAATTGAAGTTCCCTTATAGCGATGACCTAGCAATAGTTGGATGATTAAGATACAGCTTAGCATCTCCCTTGTCAAAGCACACTAATTCTAACTGGATCTACACTACAGAAGAAAGCAGCAGCTTCTGAAGACCTATGTTGGAAGTAATATTCTCCTTTCCTGTTAATGTGGATAGTGCCTCAAGTGTCTCTCCTATTTGCATTTACCTCTGGGTTAAAACCGATTTTAGTTTTCCAATTCTTTTCTAGTTTGGAATCTTTCCTTTTCACTACTAATCTTTGTGGAACTAGAGGCACAGCAACTGCTTTTGCTTTAGTGCCTGTGAGGATGATTCATTGTTATTTCACGATTTCAGATAATCGTCCTCTGCCCTGGGTGCTATCACATTAAAACAGACAATAACTTTCCCATTGCAATAGCTGTGTATATGCCCATCCCTAAATCACAATCCTAGTACCAGCTCACTATCTAGGTGTCTCCTTATCATTTAACCCCTCCTCCTTACATTTCCAAGAAGGTGACAGGTATTACACCCTGTCTGGAAAATTAAATTCTGCTCCTGGCTATTGTCCTCAGTAAGCTCTGTTCTGCTCAGTCGCTAGTAAAATAGCATGTGGGAGTGTTGAAGAACGGCGGTGCCCTGAGCTGTTTGTTTTGTAGTTATTACTGTCTGCTTACTGGTTTACCCAGGAGTCACATGATGTACCTGCATTGCCAGACAAAGCTCTGACCTCTCCTCCGAGCTGCTGCTGTCCCCGCTATTTACCTTCTTTCCCCTAACCACCAGCATTCCATTTTATTTCCATCCACAGCCCTCCTGCAGATCCCTGGGTCACCCCATTTCCTGATCAATCTCCCTTTCCCCTCCCACATCACACACAGGCCCCATACATTTCACCCCACAGGTGAAGTATGATGATGTGCTCCCACAGTAGAGATGGGATTTGGGGGGGGAAGGGAGATGTGTGCCTTGCCAGCAGGGCCGGCTCCAGGCACC